TTCGATTCAGCTGTTCTCCCTGCGCTCTGCTACGCAGCAGAGACGTGGCCTGACACTGTGGCTACGTCAAGGTTCTTCGAACAACCCACAGAGCGCTGGAACGCGTCTTCTAAGTACAACCGACGCACTCAACATCTCGTCGGACTTGCAGTTCAGATATGTAATCAATTCGTTTTCGCGACCAATACGTTTCTAAGGCAAAACATAGATGAGTCATACAGTGAGAGGACAGAAGACTGAAAACCCTGGAATGAATCGCTCGTGAAGCAAAACGTTCTCGAGGGAGGCCACCGACTAGATGGGCTGACGTGCGTTGCACGGAGGGACCGGCTGAATTCTCAGCTGGTAAAGAGTAATAGATCTGAACCACGCGTACGTCGCCGCAGTTCAATACGAACGTCGTGGATGACGCTAGCGAGAGACAGAAACGGATGGGAACAATGCTGGGCCTGCACGACGAGTGAAGATAGGCCATCTAATTATCTAAGTAAGTGAGTACTCTTTGTTTCTTGTGAGCTACTAAAAAGTGGAAGCCCAATGAAGACAGTTTTAATTTGATCGACTGCACGTTTGCGCAACATATGTCCAATGTGTTTCCACTAAGATAAGGAGACTTAAAGAAATATCTGTCACGGGGAAGTTCTGATACGAAAGTCAGAAACTTGAACACTCAAAAATAGGCACAACGAATATACGTCGCGCATGCAAGCGCTTTCTCCACTATATCCTCTCAGCCGTACACGGGTTCACTTGAAAGACGCTATGCTGAGGCCGCACGCGCGCTTGCTCCTGCGCAGAGTAGTACATTCAAGGTGCGGCTTATTTTCCAGTAGTAGTAACATGGTTGAAATGAAAACATCAAAATCTTTTTTCAAAGAAATGAGAAATACAAGGAAACATTTGAGAGGTAGATATAAAGCTTGGCATTCATCTAATAAGTCTTGATATAGATGGATTACCAATCATAAAAGTAAGCTACTCGATTTCGCGGGTGAAGATTACAATATGTAATTCTCAACGCTAGCAATATCAACTCAAACGCCTAATCAATAATTTTCACGCCGTTTAGCACCGTAAGCACCTGAACATCGTTCGATATCGAAAAAAAGATCTTGAATATAAATTCATAGCGTAGCCTTTATTAACAACAATTCATGACAGCAGACAATATTCATCAAAACAGCACCAAGGGAAAAGCGTCAGTAAGGGTTCAATTAGTGTACAAGGTGTGGAAGAATATTTGTCAACCAGAAGTTTGTTCGAATTTCCCGTAATGTTTTGTAAAAATTTCTATGCGATCCTGTGAAACATTGTACAGCTGAACAGTCATGTAAAATAATTGAGCATGAAAGGCGAAAAGAATCGCAAAAGTAGCATCATTCATGAAAAAGAAAAATACTAGTATGCTCACCCTGCATAATTTTATAGCAAAGTTGAGCAAATATCACAACACGATCAAACACAACACTTTGAGTATAGTCAACTTCTACTACTACAAGCTCATGCTGTAATAAATCAACTGTCAATATCTCTTAATTATGTTTAGCTTTTTTACCCCACGAGTACGCAATCCACCTGTCAGCAGTTTCATTCAGAGTTTTGTCTCCGCTGATTTGAACCAGCCATTTCAACAAATAGACATGTACTGCGTGATAGTCCCATCTGCAAAAGTAAAAGTTTATTTACTTCTATGCATTCAAAATGAAATGAAATCAAGTTATATGATTAACCTGGCCAAATTTGGTGCACTATGCAGTCCTATGTGACGCAGATCATAAATTGATCCACTTCCAGTATCATACAATGGTAAAAGTGCTCGAAGCGAGTCTAATCCGACCGAAAAAAGTACAGACGCTCGTTCGGCACCTAGTCGAACATCGTTTGGTACTGAAAATGCTATGATGAATACGATAACCTCATGATACATAAAAATTTTATCTATTAGATAATTATAGCGTCATCTAAGATGATAATCGAACCTTAAGGGCGAGCTTTAGTTCACAAGTTTGCATTAACAAAATTTCCCTGCTTGACCTTTAGCTAGGCGAAGAAAGGATAAAACGAGATGAAGATTTTCAACTAACTATCTAGTTCTACTTGAACTGGGTTCCTTGTTCTCTAGCGATACTTACCCTCTCCAGTAATGCTCACAGCACTGAGGTCGTACAGTCCAATCAGCGCATACATGAATCCATTGAGAACAAAACTACCAGGAGACGTTGGATATTCCTCGTACCAAACATAACCAAACAACTCCCTCCGAACACCACCCTCATTGGCATCCTAAAATGCATAAGACAATAGTTGTGCACATTGAAATTGGAGAAAAACTAGCAAATTTTGAGAGAAGATAACTTACTTTCTCAAAGAGATGAAGAGCTTTGCCTGCAGCAGCCAAGTAAGAAACATTATGTGTTGATGCGTAAGCACGTGTTAATAAAGATATGCCATGTCCCTAAGTAGCATCAGATCGAAGTCGTTTTGGAAATAAAGGAAACTATGAATGCACCTGAGCCATTGCTGAGTACCAACCAGCCGGAAGCACAAGTCGACGATCAGCGATTGCACGTTCAACAGGAACCGGCCAGCCACCCTGGAACGTCAAATCTCAATTAAAAACACAAGGAGCATGAAAGCCCATACGATGTTATCCTGATTGGAAACTAGCCAATCAGCAGCTGTCAGAAATGATTTTCGATGAGCATTTTCAGATTGTTCGATACGTTGTCGCACTACAACCA